GCTTGCCTAGCATTCATGAGGCACTGGGTTCAATCCCCAGCACCACATAAAAAATAAATAAACAAAATAAAGTTATTGTGTCCATCTACAACTCAAAATTTAAAAAGATATTTTGCTAGATTCTTTTAGTTTAAAAAAATCAGATAATCTTAATGAAAACATCTATACAGTTAGTAAGTTAAAATGGCATATACAGTAGCTTTATTTCAGAGTATCTGAGGCAGTAAGACAGGTTTCATCATACTGTTCAAATCTTCCTGTCAGAATCAGTTTCATGTCTTGCTGCATAAGGAGACAGCCAGGGCTGTTTCTGGGCTGAGAGAGGAGCACTGCATGGGTGCAAGCTCATTGCATGGTGTACTGATGGTTCCTGGGTCACATTCTAGCAGCTGACATGCTCCTGGTAAGCTAACAAAAGAACCCAACGCAAGGAAGAACAAACCAAACCCTCAATCCCTCCTTGTTCTAGCTACCTTCCTATGAGAGGTGGCCTGCTAAGACAGTTCTGGCAGTGAGATAAATAAGCAGAAATCAAGTACTGGAGAGGGCTTCCAGTTAGGGAAGCATCAGTCTTCCTACCAAAAAGGGTCCCTCAGTTGACAGACTCCTCCCTTCCTTAGTCATTCCTCTTATTCCTACCAAGGCCAAAGTGCTGAAGACTCAGCTCTCATTCATTGTGAGACCATGTGCAAAGCAGGAGAATGACAAGTGTCCAAAGGAACACTGAAAAGAGAGCTCAGGTGACTATTCATCTTTTCATCACTGTCCAACACCTCCCAATGGTTCATTCAAATTATTAATCCACCAAATAGATTAATCCATTGATGAGGTTAGAGTCCTCATGATACAGTCATTTGTCAAAAGCCTCACCTCTGTACACTGCTCTATTAGGGTCTAAATCTTTAAGCATATAAGCCTTTGGGGAACATTCCAGACCCAAACCATAATACCTGGCAATGTCTATGAACAACTTAGCCCTGAGCTACCTACCTCCAAGCACCTCATCATCTGAACCAGAAAAAGCTATATTTATGTCGCCATAGTTAGCTTTGTGTTACTTTCAGTCCAATGCATTCCTAATTGAGATGACAAATCCTCTGGTGACTAAGATTTATTCTGCCTAAAAATATGATTTCCTGGAAGAAACTATGTTTCCCTTGCAAGTCACTTCCCCCAAAATAACACTAAAGATTATTGATGATTCCACACACACTAGCCAAAGCCTCTGCCAACCCACCCCAGAAAGGGGAAAGGGCCTGAGAAAACAGAGAGAGAGCCAGGACAGAGGAGGAGGCCATTCACAAGGGGCTTCCTGTCTGACACATTTGGAAGGTGGGCTAGAGGCCAGCTTGGAATCCATTGTTGGCTCAATGGTGGTCCCTCTACTAGAGTTGATGGGCAAGGGTCCTAGGGAGGATGTATAGAACAGTTCCCCATGGAATGAGGGGTGGGGGCTCCACTTGCAGCCTTGGGTATACCTAATCACTTTGGCATGAGGTGTAAAGTGGGCACAGTGCTTGGTGCTAGGCAGTGTATGTGAGAGACCTGAGTGGACATGACAGAGATGCATGGAGGAGTACGCTCTGTAGGGCGTGCCTGTCAACCATCTGACTGCATGGGGTGGGTAGGTGGGGTCTCTGGGGTCTGTAGGGGTCTGGTATACCTTCAGGAAAATAGTGGGTATGCTGACCAGTGTATTTCTGTGAGGTATGTGGACTAGAAAAACATAACTGCCAATACCTAGTATAGTCCCAAAGCAAATTACAGAAATGTATCAAGAACTTGATGTCTTCAAAAGACAAGAGTATAAACACATGTAAGGTATAAGAATATAAAAGTCCCAAGGCACTAGTAATATATTTCTGTAGTACTCTACCTTAGAAATGTTGCTTGAATGACTCATGGAATGTCCCAAAGTCTTCTCATTCTGCAAGAAAGCCAAACAGGTATTCAATATTGAGCCTTGATTAAAATATGCAAAGAATATAACAATCCTCCTGACACACTATTCCTATAACTAGAATTTGCTAAGCACAACCTATTTCTACTATGTACTAGATGTGTGAAGCCAGTTATCGGATACTGAAGAATTGGGCAAAAAAATAATAAAAACAGTAGGCCTTACCCTAAAGGAATTTATCAGGGAAAATACAGGAGTTTGAAATCAATTATAATAATAAGAGAGTGATAACTATCATAAGATATATTCAAGGGCAGGTTCAAAGATGAGAAACCTGCATGCACAGTGGATGTGACATAGTCCATGTTATAAAGTAGTCATTGTAGGATGTCCCCAGAGTTGATCCCACCTGGGTCATATGACTGTCAAAGTGCTAGGTACTCAAAAGATATATCACACTGCTCAGATCTCCCTCAAGTCTGTTCCTTCTCCTAGAGCAGAAATCCAGGAAGGACACTGCCCCCTCTCTCTCAGATTCCTCCACATTCAGTCTAATATCAAATTACTGGCTCCTTAAGGATTCTAAATCTCAAATCTCATTTCCATTTTTATTATCAATACCTTAGTTTAGATTCTCTTCATTTATCTTCATGGGACCTTCCTAAATAATCTCCTACCTCCCTGACAAATTATCAGCTAACTTGTATTTCTCCTCCCCCAAATTCATATATTGAAGTTGTAATTTCCAATACTTCACAATGTGACAGATGGTAGAGTCTCTCAAGAGGTGATTAAGTTAAAGTGAGGTCATTTGGGAGGAAATTCAATATGACTAATATCCTTATAAGAATGGGACACAGATACACACAGAGGAAAGACCATGCAAAAACATGGAAAAGACAACTGTCTGCAAGCCAAAGAGAAGCCTCAGAAGAATCCAATTCTGCTTATACCTTGAGCTCAGACTTCCAGCCTCCAGACTGAGAAAATGAATTTCTGTTGTTTAAGCCATCCACTCTGTGTAACTCTGTTATGGGAATCCTAGCAAATAAATACAATAACCTCCAAAACAAAATGCCTTGGCCTTAAAAAAAGAAAATCCAAAAAAAAGTTGAATTTTTTAAAAAAAGAAAGTAATTTTCTTGAATCCACTCATTCTTGCTCAAAATCCAAATGAGTAAAAAGCTATTGCAAAAGAAACAGAAGATCTTACTTTAAAATTATCTGTTTTCTCTTAAAATCTTTGGTCAATCAGAAATACAAAAAAAAAAAAAAAAACTAGTGGATCACTGAAAAATTCCTTTGAAGGAGATTCTACTCCACCAAATTCCTCCTTAAAGACAACATAGCCCCCCACCCCACCCCTTGCGGGTGTAGCTCAGTGGTAAAACACTTGCCTAGTGTACACAAAGCCCTGGGTTTGATCTTAATCACCAAGCAGAGGGAAGATAATGAAAGCTAACTAACAAGACAGTCTGAATTTTCCCTTTCTCCTTGACCCAACAAATTATAGACTACCTTTGTTTTTGGATTCTTGGCTTTGGATGCTGCCTATTCCTAAAATGGTGATGAAGAAAAAAATGTCCTGATCTCTCAGGTAGCCTGTTAATGAGCACTTCTATTCTGACAATGTTTTGTTGTTGTTGTTATTTGTTTGTCGCTGTTTTGGGGGGTCTTTATAGAAATATGTTTGTGTAATTCTGATTTTCTTTTAATATTGTTTCCTTGTTTTATAAATCTGAGCTACTTTTTTTTTCTTTTTTGGTACTAGGGTTTGAACACAGGGGTGCTCTACCACTGAGCTACATTCTCAGCCCCTTTTTAAATTTTATTTTGAGTCAATTTTGCTAAGCTGACAAGTCTGGCCTTGAACTTGCAATCCTCCTGCCTCAGCCTCCCAAATCACTGACTTTTAGGCATATGCCACCAAACCTGTCCCCTTCATCATGTTATAAATTTGAAAGGAAATAAAAGCATGGGTTTCTTTAAATGTATAATATGGGCACTGCCATTAACTGTTTAGGCACTGCTATTTAGTGTTTCTTGGTCTTTAGCCAGATAAATAGTTCATTATAGCAGAAAAAAATCATCAAGTATGTTCAAAGTGTTAGGAGTATGTCACCAAAACTTGTTACTAAAGGATAAGGTTTGATTAAGAATTTTATTCAGTCATATTATTTACTAACTGGAACAGAAAGGCTCTGACTATTTAACAGGTAAATCTATAACCATTCAAAGTCCCATTCAAGTGTTAAGACTATATCATAGATAAGGGTACTGTTGTGAATCCCTGCTTAAAGGCTAACCCACTGGTGACTTACTACCAGATAAAATATTGTACACTTTGGGTTATTCATACAGAAAGCCAATTACAACCACTGTACATTATCTACTATAACACAAGGAACAGCCAGTTTGACACCATCTAGAAATTTTAAAAAAGGATGTGCAGCATTAAGAAATAGATAAATAATCTCTGAAGACCTGTTTGATATTCATTTTTCCAGAAAGTAAATATTGGGATGGGGAAAGGACTAGCTGTTAAACTATATAACATAAATCCAGACTGAAAGCTAAAAGTGTTTCTTTACCACATGTAATTTTATGATGTAAACTTTTATGCTGTTTTTTTTTCCAATAGAAAAACCAATATTTTACACTGGAAAAATAAAAGAAATAAAACAAGCCCCAGAAGACACAAGTATTTTAAAGCCTGAAACCTTCCAATATTTAGGGCTGCTTCTTCAACACTAGGTAGGACTTCAACAATTTGGTTCTAACACACTGTTCCTATAAACATTGGTATTTAATGTCCATGTATTTGAACAAAAAAAAAAAACTGTTCAGAACCACAAAAGAGCAATTTTCCAGAAAGCAAATGCTGGGGTTTCATTTAAATCATTCATTAATTCATTCATTCATTCATTCCACACTTATAATTTAACTACTACATGCAAAAACTGTGTGAAGCATAGAATATAGACAAGAATAAATCTGCCCCCATCCTTGGGCCAATGGCAGTATTACCACAGAAGTCCTTCAAAGCAGGAATTTGATGAAGAAAGTGATAACACGCAGAAAGTGAAAAAATCACATGAAAAAGCACATACAGGGCTAGGGATATAGCTCAATGGTAAAGTGCTTGCCTAGCATGTGCAAGGCCCTGGAAACAGATAAATAATCTCTGAAGACCTTTTTGATATTCTCATTATTTGGGTTTGATTCAAGGAGGAGGAAAAGGCACATACATAAATTACATCAAGGTGGGGTGGGTGACAGCATTCCATCCTATGGTCAGAATGGTATTTTTTTAATGAGAAGAAGGAAAGTTTGTCAACGTCTAGAACTCGAATCAGGAAAAGAGAGTTCTATTAAGGCAAAACTAAGTATTAATGCTCAAGTAATAAAAAACTTAGCAAATTATTTTCATAAGATCTTTAAACATTCAGTTCCTGCTTAATGGGAACTACCATGTCAGACCCAGGAAGAAATGGAAGCCTCACTGTGCTTTCCTCAGAGGAGGTACCAGGAGATGACAGGCACTTCCTTGGCTTCCTCTCATCTCCATATCTCTTCGGTGAGTGGTTTTCATTCACATTAAATACTAGAGCTTCTTAGAATAAAATGTCTTTTTCTCATGCCCTTTTCTCATATATCTTTTCTCTTAGATCAGGGATTCTCAAACTCTGTATACTTCATCATTTAGAGATCTTGCTAAAATGTAGACAGTGATTTGTGAGGTCTTGGTGAATGCAGATTCTACATTTCCAATAAGCTCCCAAGTTGACTCTCACACTTTGGGGAGCAAGTTTCATTACAAATCTGGACAAGAGTAATCCACAAAAGGCTATGATTCATTTTTTTAAAGTAAACCATGACTATTATAGAAGTAGATTTCTGGGTGAAAGATGGCAGTGTGCACACAATTTAGTTAATAAAAATAAACCCATCAGAAAACATATACATAAGACTGGGGTTGTGGCTCAGTGGCAGAGTGCTTGCTTCACACATATGACGCACTGGGTTATATCCTCAGCACCACATAAAACTAAATAAATAAAATAAAATATATAAATATATTCCTCTACAACTAAAAAATATTTTAAAATAAGAAAACAGATACATAGATTGGGAAAGACTTTGTCTGAGGGTGTGAGAAAGCAAAGTTTTGTTAATGTAAGAAGTTAACAAATCACAAGGACAATGAGAAGTTCTGTGGAAGAACAGGGGCATTTCATCTTTTCATCAGTCCCACTAATGATGTTTTACATGTCCACATGAGACAAGTAAACTAAAATGGGTCTATAGGGATAGTGTCTCAGTAAATAGAGACCTTTGAAAACATGACACATTTTATACTAAGCTTTCTTCTTTGGTTAAAGTTAACAGAACATTCAATGTATGCCTGTAAGACACTAGACATATTACTAATTAGAATATCACCAAAGGAACTTACACAATGTGCCCACAATGATTAATGGCTATAAAGTTTTACCAGAAGGGAACATTTTGACCTCCAAGTATAGAGTGGTCACCATGGAACTTAGTTGTCATGAGACCTGATTTCCAAGAAAGTTTGTAAATATTTTCCAAATCAGCAAAATTTGACCTTAGTTCAACTGCTTAGAGAACTACAGAAGATAATTAGAAACTATTTTGAGAATCTGTACTCCAATAAAATAAAAAATATCAAAGGCATTGACAAATTTCTAGAGCCATATGATATACCCAAACTGAATCAGGATAAATGGATCAATTTCAAGCAATGAAATAGAAGACACCATCAGAAGCCTACCAACCAAGAAAAACCCAGCACCAGACAGATACACAGCTAAGTTCTACAAGACCTTCAAAGAAAAACTAATACCAATACTCCTCAAATTATTTCATGAAATAGAAAAAGAGGGAACACTTGCAAACTAATTCTATGAAGCAAATATCACTCTGATTCCAAAACCAGACAAAGACACAACAATAAAAGAAAACTTCAGATCAATATCTTTAATGAACATGGATGCAAAAATTCT